TGATGGATCAAAGACAGCTGGACTGGGTCTGGACTGGGTCTGGACTGGGTCTGGACTGGGTCTGGACTGGGTCTGGACTGGGTCTGGACCTGAGCAGGTCCAGTTGACTTAAGGTTCTGTTAGTTTTATCAGATCCCAGTCATCAGACATGTAAAGAGATAAAACCTGCAGTCTCAAAGCTGGACCCAAACAGAAGTCCAGAACCAGGACTCAGGTAGTTCTACTGCTCTCTAACTGAGCAGAACCTGTTAAACGGGTCGGCTCTGAGCGGTACTGCTTCCTGTGGCTCAGCAGGAGGAAACCTGTGAAGCATTTCTGACTGTTGGAGCGTCACAGCGTGGGCCACGGATCAGAACCAGAATGTGTTCAGTTCTACCTGGACCAGTACCATCCGGACCGGTGCTGCTCCAGCTGGGCTCAGGTTAAAGTGGAGGAAGTGGACCCTTCAGGGAAGCAGCAGAACGTTTGTCAGGCCCGTCTGGTTCTGATCCAGTCTCCTGTGGCTTTAAAGCAGTATATATTGAGCGTGAGGATTGTACAACAGTTTTATTTTCACTCTGAGCTCAGGTTTCTGCTGCAGTTTTATTACAGCTCACAGAGGAAAAACCAGCTGAGCCATGTGGAAACTTCTGATTCGGACCTGAACCAGGAGAGCAGAACTCTCAGGTTCTGGTGTTAAACACTCTCATGTGTGCTTCCTGAGCAGAGCTGCTGCAGAACCTGTGATGTCACAGCMAGCCTGAAACACAAAGCTGCTTCTTAGACTCATAAATGTCGTTTGTGTTTCCTGTGAGGAGGTTCTGGAAGCTGTGGAGCAGAAAATCAGTCCGTCTTCAGAACACTGCAGAACCTTCTGAAACCTGAACAAACACAGGAGGCTGGGAAACTTTCAGACAACATCTAAAAACACCAGAACCTGTGATGTCACAGCTCCTCCCACTTTATTCACATTAAAGGATCCCTGATCAGTTCTAACATTAGACTTTATTTAATAAACTTTTATTTTAACTGTAAAATAAAGACTGTAAAAATACTGTAGGATGTTTAGTTTTTATCATTTTTAAACTAAAACTTTAAAAATATATTTTAACATGGACGGAGCCATTTTATTTCCACACAAAGCAGACCCACCTGTAGAACCTTCAGACCCACCAGTAGAACCTTCAGACCCACTAGTAGAACCTTCAGACCCACCATCAGAACCTTCAGACCCACCAGTAGAACCTTCAGACCCACCATCAGAACCTTCAGACCCACCAGTAGAACCTTCAGACCCACCATCAGAACCTTCAGACCCACCAGTAGAACCTTCAGGCCCACCATCAGAACCTTCAGACCCAGCAGTAGAACCTTCAGGCCCACCAGTAGAACCTTCAGACCCACCATCAGAACCTTCAGACCCAGCAGTAGAACCTTAAGACCCACCATCAGAACCTTCAGACCCACCATCAGAACCTTCAGACCCACCAGTAGAACCTTCAGACCCACCAGTAGAACCTTCAGGCCCACCAGTAGAACCTTCAGACCCACCATCAGAACCTTCAGACCCAGCAGTAGAACCTTCAGACCCACCATC